TCAGGAGGGTATAATGCCAAAGAGTCCACCCTCCTAAAGCAGCCATTTTCTCCAGGGGGACTGATCTCTATTGCCTGGAGATCAGCTGTAATAGTGGGAGATCTCCAGGCCCTACCTGGAGATTGGCAACCCGAATTGCTGGCCACATCTCCGCTGAGTGGTCCATGCAAGGCTGCCGGCATCATGGATGCAACTCAGGTCAGCTTGCTGCTGGGCACTTGTATCTGATTTTTCTCTCGTTAGAAAAGCAGGGGGGAAAGAGGTATTAAATCATACCTTGTATAGATACTTTATCACACCATCGCAATGCATGCTGTGTACGATACATAGCAATATTTATTTTTACTGATCACTCACTTCATTTATACCCTGCCTTTCTCCTCTAAGGGAACCCAGAGCAGCTTATATTGTTCTCTCCTCCTCCATGTTATCTTTACAACCACCCTGGGAGGTCAGTTAAGCTAAGAAGGTGTGATTGACTCCAGGTCACCCAGCGAGGTTCTGTGACAGAGTCAAACCCGGGTCTCCCACATCCTGGTCTTAACACTTTAGTCCAGAGGTGTCAAACTCATTTGTTACAAGAGCTGGATCTGACATAAATGTTGCTTTGTTGGGCTGGGCCATGTGTTCCATAAAACGTAATGACAGGTACTGGAGATAGAAACTGTATAAAGGACAGCAGCTGGTAAGCTCTGAGTTGCTCTATCCTCACTGCAAGGCCCCATGGGCTGGGAAGGGGGTGCAGAGGAAAACCCGCATGGGCGGACTGGAGAGCCAGCAATGCAGTACTGGGCAGACGCTCCCACGCTGCTTGCCTGCTGCAGATGAGGTTGTTCTGCCACGTGAAGCCAAATAGGGAGTGCCCCTCCCCCCTCCCCCCCCCCCGAGCAGTCTCCCTTGCACTAGTTGCTCGCAGGCCACATAAGAGCCCTGGATGGGCCAGTTCCAACCCCTGGGCCATATGTTTGACATTCCTGTGATCCCTACATCACACTTGGCTTTCTTGCTCTTGCTTTATCTACTGTCTTTAAATCTGATGTATGCTTTTAATCCGTATCAAGGTAAAACACCCCCACACACCCTTTTGTAACTTCTTCAGGGAATTGTATTGCCCCAACACTCAATAAAAGGCAACCGACGTTGTACAAAAATAACCTGCAAGCTTTATCTTTTTAGATTTTTGTTCTGCTCTGACAAAGTTATCTGATTCATTAGCCTGACAGGCTAGGTCCTGCGTAGCCAGCACTCTACTTTCGGCAAAGATTGCTGTTTCCAACTCGGGGCTGAAAGCTTTCTAGCCTCTACAGTTATCTGTCTTGAGAGATAACACTGCACTTTTGATACCCTTTCTATAGTATAACCTATCAGATAGAATAACAGTCAAGCACAGCTTTAACGTTGCAGTCCACCCCTACTGTGTCACCAGGGCTGGCACAAGGATTTTTCCACTCCCTCCCACACTCACCATGGGTAAGCGGCTACCCCCCTCCACTGCACCAAAGGGAAGCCACCCCCACTCATATTGTCCTTGTGCCAGGGCCGTGGCTTGCCATGGCCTTCCCCACAGGAGCCTATGGGGAGGCAAAGAAAGAACCTGGAAAAGGGCTCCGGCCTGCCCATGGCCCCACCTTCCCAACAAGGGGGAGGGAAGAAGGAAGAAGGTCCATTCCTGCCCCTCCTGATGGAGAGAGGGAGGGAGGAATGGAGCAGGACCACCCTGGGCTGCCCACGGGAGTCAGAGGTACTGCATGGGGTGACTGCTTGCTGCAGCAGACCTCGGCACCACCAGCAGGTTTTGATGCCCCTCTGGCTCGGGCTCCCTAGGCAATCACCTAGGTCTGTTTAATGGACAGAGCAAGAGGTGGTGGCAGCTACAAGCATGGAATTGGATAAACATATGGTGCAGAGGTCCATCATTGGCTATTAGCCACAAGGTATAGATAGGAACTCTCAGGCTGGGGCAAGTAATGCACTGTATTCTTGGTGCTTGGGGGGGGGGCAGCAGTGGGAGGTCTTCTAGAGTCCTGGCCTCTCTCAGGCTGGGGCAAGTAAGGCACTGTATTCTTGGTGCCTGGGGGGGGGGGGCAACAGTGGGAGGTCTTCTAGTGTCCTGGCCCCACTGATGGACCTCCTGATGGCACCTGGCATTTTTGGCCACTGCGTGACAGAGTGTTGGGCTGGATGGGCCATTGGCCTGATCCAACATTGGCTTCTCTTATGTTCTTATGTGCCTGACAATGAGGAGATGTTTTGTTTTGTTTTGTCTTGGTGGTGGTTTGTGTGTGTGTGTGTTTGTGTGTAGTTTGTAAGTTTGTTCAGCCTCAGGTGCATCTAAACTAGCCATTGGCAGAATCTGCATTTGTCTTTCCCACCAGTGTCCCAGCCTTTTGACTCCATCTTCAAAAAAGCTGTCTACATTTGGTGTCGTTTTCACACCTCAACAGTGCTAGCATACTTTTGTAGGTCCACATATGTTTATCGTCCTTTCGGGGCAGGTCCACTGTCATTTCACCTCCACACGGCTTTAAAAGAATCTTCTCCAAACAACATTCAAACAGCAGCATGAAAATGATTTAAAAATTCAAATGCAGATTCGGCCATTGTCTCAGGTATTACCACCACTGCCTTTGCTCCTTTTTCTCTTGAGAATCAAGATGACGTTCAGTGGAAACTTTTGCATTGTTTCCCGTCTTTTCACATTTTTTTTAAAAAACAGAAATCTTCCCAGAGCATGGTCCTCCCAATTGTTAACTTAACTGTGTCACTCGAGAAATCTCACTTGGGGCAGAGGAGTCGTCAGTAATGTTGATGATTGTAGACTCATAGAATCACAGGGTTGGAAGGGGCCAGACAGGCCATCTAGTCCAACCCCCTGCTCAATGCAGGATCAGCCTAGAGCATCGCTGACAAGTGTCTGTCCAGCCGCTGGTTAATGTACTAAATGTATGTGCTACAGACCCCTCCTCATTAGCGGGTTTGTGCCTGTGATTATTTTGTGATCTGGTCACGTGATGCGGACTCCGGCCTGTGTTTATAAACTCCCAGTTTGCCACCATCATAATCATACCGTTCAATTTTCCTGGAAACGTGTTAGCGTTAATATCGGGAGGCAGCAGATCGATTGCCTCTCAGTGTTCACAGATTTTGCCATTTGTGCTGATCTCACAAATAAATCCCCTACAAATGGCAAGGGGCTACTCTAACCCCTCTTCTCCCACCTTGTCCTCTTCCACCAGGATTATTCAAGCAAAAGAATCCATTTCCTTTCTATTCTCCCCTCCCCTAAGATCTGTGGAGTCCAAGAGCTCAGAAGCATCTTCCTGTTCTCTACCACCCCTATTGCTGCTCTGGCAAACCAAATGGTCGTCCCAGGTCAGCAGCATGAAATTAACCAACTTGTCAGTTTCACGGTGCTTCCTGGACTCTGCCCCTGGCATGACTTTCTCCAAAACTTCCACTGTTTCACTGAGGAGGGGAAAAGCTCCACTAGTTTCACCACTGCTTTGTGGAGAGGGAAAAGATCATAACCCAGGCAGGTACCCCAGGGAGCCTTCTCTTCCGGAGGTCTGTCTTCCCTTTTACAGGGAGTCTAGGAAACGTGCTGTTTCCCACTGAACAAGACTAATATTTGTATGTGTTATTAGGGTCTTTTTAAAAAAATTGTTGTAGTGTTGCCTGGATACGTTCCCATTGTGGTGTCTGACATGCCAGTTTACTTGCCTTTAATTAACTAATTGGCTAAAAGGTAGTTGCTGGATCAACTATAATGTCTTTTTAATTGAATGACAGCCGTAAGCCTGAATGCTTTGAACAGAAAAGCACTTTCCCAGTTTCAAAGCCGAAAGCAAATGTTGAGGGGAAGCAGAGGACCAGGCCCTTTCAATAGGTGGAGCCATCCCATTGCTGCCTCCCTATGAACCCCCCCCCCCTTTAAACCATCATATCCTCAAGTTTACCATATGTGGTGTCAGGGCAACAATATATAGAGACCCAGTGTGGTGTAGTGGCTAAGAGTATTGGACTCATATCTAGGAGAACCAGGTTCGAATCCTTGCTCATGCCATGGAAGCTCGCTGGGTGACTCTGGGCCAGCCACCCACTCTCAGCCTGATCTACCTCCCAGGGTTGTTGTGAGGAAAAAATGGAGCAGACGAGAATGGTGAAAAACACCTTGGGAAGAAAGGCAAGATATAAATAAATAAATGGATTCTAGAAGAGTGGCCATACTGAATCAGACCAGTGGTCCGTCTAATCTGGAGTCACCTTTCTAACATGGCCAGGAAATGTGACAGGAAATCCCATGAGCAGTGCCTGCTAGCAACAGCCTCTGACTTATGATGGTTCTCCAGCACTTGTCAAGTCAGAGGTATTTAGCCTCTCAACCCAGAGGCCCCATTCAGCTATCATTGATAGGAGCGGCAGCATAAAACACCCTTTTAAAGCCTAAGCCAGTGGACATCTTCACATCTCTTGGCAGTGAGTTCCACTAGTCAACTATTTGTTATGTAGAAGAAGAAGAGTTGCTTCTATACCATGCTTTTCTCTGCCCTAAGGAGTTGCAAAGAGGTTTGCAATCGCCTTTCCTTCCTCTCCCCACAACAGCCACCTTGTGAGGTAGATGGGTTTGAGAGAGTTTGGAGAGAATGGTGACTGGCCCAGGGTCACCCAGCAGCTGCATGTGGAGGAGCGGGGAATCAAACCCGGTTCTCCAGATTAGAGTCTGCCACCCTTAACCACTACCCCATGCTGGCTTCACTTCCTGTATCTGTATTTAGTCTACTGCCAACCAGTCTTATAGGGTGACTCCTTTTTGTATTATGGGGAAGTCATTGCAAGTTTCAATCTTTCCTGGTTAGCAACCCCTTGCATAGCTCATAAGACCATAAGAAGACCCCTGCTGGATCAGACCAGTGGTCTATCTAGTCCAGCATCCTGTCTCCTACGGTGGCCAGCCAGGTCCTCTCCCTCCAAATCTTCCCATGCTGCTTCTCTTCCCTTAGGTCTTTGTGAAAGCCCACTTTGACTATGACCCGGCCACCGACAACCTCATCCCATGCAAAGAGGCTGGACTGAAGTTCATCGCTGGAGACCTTCTTCAGATCGTCAATCAGGATGACCCCAACTGGTGGCAGGTATGGCCCTTCGGGGGCTTTGTGCTGAAGAACTGAGCCATAAGCAGGGTTGGGATCAGGCCTCAGTTATAGGCGAGCTTCAGGGAAACCCTCTGAGACAGCCCATGAATATGTCCACATGGCAGGCAATCGTGATCAGGGAGCTAAGCCAGAGGACTTGCCTGGAAGAGTCTGTTGAAGATGGGAGGGATGAATCAAGGTTCACAGTACTGTGGCTCAGTGGAAGGGCATCTGCTTGGCATGCAGAAGGTTCCAGGTTCAATCCCCAGCATCTCCAGTTGAAAGGATCAGGTAGGAGGTGATGTGAAGTGCCCCAGCCTGAGATGCTGGAGAGCTGCGGCCACTCTGAGTAGACAGTATTGACCTTCACAGACCAAGAGTCTGATTCAGTATAAGGCAGCTTTATTTTATTGATTCAATTGTATTCAAGTGCTTCAAGTGTGTTCAAGTGTAATTGTAAGGAGGAGCTTGAGGGAGCATGGGCCCCTTGGCAAACTACTGCCCATGCTGTTAACCAGCATCAGGGGACAACATTGCTGGGTCCATGACGAAGCTGCCGCCGTGCGATGAAGCTAGCGCCGTCGCCACCAGTTTGTGCCAGCTGCATCCTTTGTTTATCTGCGCCAGAGGCAGGGGAAGTAGTGTTGGCAGTGATACAGTGAGGCAGTGTGACTCCAAAGGAGAGCTTTTTGTTTAGAAGCAATAGACGTTGCATTGTGCCCGTTTGTAGGATGCTGCCCCTTTAAGGATCAAGCTGCAGAGGACAGAGGGGATGCTGGGAAAGAGAAGAGGAAAAACAGATTCTGTTTCAATTAAGTCGCTTGTCTGCCGTGATTGGAAGCCTGTTCTGGCCTTTCCACGGCTAAGTAGCGTGTTCTTGACAAATACATGATGGATTTTTTGCTCGGTCACTCTCTGGTCTGTAGTGCTACAGCAGTAAAGTGAAATTGTCAACTGTCCAGAGCTCACTGGAAGAAATTTAAAGGGAACCAGTGTGATATCTCACCTACGTTTAAATGAGAGCACGGCTGGAGCCATTGATGTAGGGGAGAGGAGGTTTCAATATTTTGATAAATTCCGTACTCCCCCCAAGTGATAATTCAAATAGTATCCAAAATTGAGATCACTGTATGTTCATCTTGTGAGCAAATGGGGTATGCAGGCAGGTGAGAAAACTGTGAGAAGGGAAAGATTTACGGTGACACCTTGGAGACAAAAAAATTTTTCTTCTGTTGTAAGCTTTATCAGGTAAAGGGGTTGACCAGAACCATCTAGATTGGTGGTCTTCAGCCATTGCAGTCCTGGGACTAACTGGGTTACTAGCATATAGTCCCAGGACTAACTGGGTTACAAGAAAGGGGACAGATATGTTAAGTTAGGGTGACGTGCATCATAAGACACAGCTTGTGCTGGCTTTCTGGATTTCAGCTTTGTTAGGAATTTGTGAGGGAATGAATGATTACGGTAAAGACCAGCTCGAAAGTATGTAAGAATTTCAGTATAAAGGAAAACCTTTATTAAAAAAAAACAAAGTTGTGGATTTGTATGGAGAAAGCCTCTCATTCATGGCCCCAGGTTTCTGCCCCCGAAGCTCACATAAACCCCAAACACCAGTTTGGTGTAGTGGTCAAGTGCGCGGACTCTAATCTGGGAGAACCGGGTTTGATTCCCCACTCCTCCACTTGCACCTGCTGATGTGACCTTGGGTCAGTCACAAGCTCTGGCACAGCTGTCCTTGAAAAAGAGCAGTTTGTGTCAGAGTTCTCTCAGCCCCACCCACCTCACAGGGTGTCTGTTGTGGGGAGGGGAAGGGAAAG